CCCCCCCCAGCGCTCTGGGGACACGAGCTAACTTCACCTATTTTCTTAGACGTGTGTCATTTTCAATTTCTAGGTTTTCTGTGTCTGGGTCATGTGTTGTCTGGTGCGGCTGGGGCCCTTTAAGATAAGGGCTCGCCAGTTACTTCCGGCACCGGGAGCAGGGTGCTCAGCAGGGTGCTCAGCAGACCCGCCTGCCCCAGTGCAGGGGGCGTCGCCTGCCTCTGTGCGGGAAGTGCTGTGTTTCGGGTCCCCAGTTTCTTTGGCGCTTGTGCGTGGGGCCGTCTCTTTGACGGCCTTTATATGTGGCCTGACCTCCGATAAGGCAAGCCCCCCTCCCCCCCAGTCTTGTTTGTAGTTTTTCCTTGGCCCTGATGGTGCCTTTTCCATCTAGATTGCGAATTTTATTACAGTTCCACCTTTTTCCTTTCTTACCACCGCCCCCGGCCGCAAGGACAAAACTTTATTGACATTCTGACTGGGATTGCGCATGACACTCTGCTCTGGGTGCCGTGACAAAGTCCCACAGACTGGGCGGCAGAACAGCAGGCCTTTGTCTTCTCTCGGGTTCTGGAAGCCAGACGTTTATAATTAAGGTGCCAGAAAATTCCTTATCACTTTTCAGGTTCTTTACCTTCTATATTCCCACTCCTGATGGGAATGTAAAATAGTGCAGCCAGTATGGAAAACAGTCTGGCAGTTCTTCAGAACAGTTAAACATAGCGTTACCTTTTTTCTTTAAAGTCCAGAGAGCGAGCGCAGGCAAGCAGGGGAGGGGCAAAGAGAGAATCCCAGGCAGGCTCTGCACTGTCCGCGTGGAGCCCAGTGCGAGGCTCGAATTCACGAACTGTGAGATCATGACCTGAGACAAAATCAAGAGTCAGATGTTTAACTGACTGAGCCCCCCAGGCGCCCCTGGAGCCACTTGCGGCCCCTTGACTCCACTCCTCCGTGTTTACTCAGGAGGAACGAAGGCATGTCCGACAAAGTGTCCAAAGTAGGCAGATCTGTTAAGACAGAAAGTAGATGGGGGCGCCTGGGTGGCTCAGTCGGTTAAGTGTCAGACTTCAGCTCAGGGCATGATCTCATGGTTCCTGGGTTCGAGCCCCGCGTCGGGGTCACTGCTGTCCGTGCAGAGCCCACTTTAGATCCTCTGTCCCCCCATCTCAGCCCCTCTCCCGCTCATGCTTCCTCTCAAAAATGAATATTAAAAAAAAAAAATGAAAGCAGATGAGTGGTTGCCAAGGCTTGGTGTATCTGATGGGGATGGGGAATGACTGCTAATGAGCGCAGTTTCCCTTACGGGGTGAAGATGTTCTGGAGTTAGTGGTGATGGCTGCCCAGCTTTGCGAATACCCTAAAATCCTCTGAACTGTACACGCTGTGGTACACCTCGGTAAACCTTTTATTTTTTTTAATGTGTATTCTTAAAGGTTTTTATTTTTACAGCTATTGTGTGTAGAATAGTTTTCTCTAGGAAACATTGTTTTGGTTTTTTTTCCATGTTTATTTATGAGAGAGCACAAGTGGGGGAAGGACAGAGAGAGAGTGAGACAGAATCCAAAGCCGGCTCCACGCAGCCAGCTCCGACCCCGACAGGGGGCTCGAGCCCATGAACCGTGAGATCATGACTTGAGCAGAAGTCGGATGCTCAGCTGACTGAGCCCCCGGTGCCCCATTCCCTGGACGGCTTTTAGCAAATAGAAACATTGCTTGCTTCGTCTCCGTAGCCTCGAACGGTTGCTGGCACGTAGGTGCTCGGTGTTCAAGTGGCCCATTGTTCTCCTACAGCAGGAAGTAGAAAACTGCCCTCGCTGGGTGCTTATTAATTCAGCAGAAAGTCCCACTACACTGAGCCCGGTCCGTCTGCCGCCACCGCTCACCATGGCCGCTGACGGACTTCATCCGTAGCACGCGGCACCTAGAGACAAAACCCCCTTGACCTTGGAAGAAGAAAATAGACGCCAAGTCCAGAAAAATGACTGGCAAACGGGTGCCTGGAGGGATGTTTGGGGACCGCGGGGGCAGCAGGGGCTAAGGGCTGCCAGGGTCCAGGCCGCGCTGAAGTCTGACCTCGGAGGCGGAGGCGATGACACGACGCGGCCGCCCTGAGCATCTGTGACTGGCCGTGGTCCCCAGGCCGCGAGCTTTCGGTCGTGACGGAGAGCGTGAGCGCGCGCTGTCCTGACCGCCCCGCGTCGGCTGCTGCTCTTCCCGCTGGATCCCTCTCGGCGCCTCCTCCGCCCTCCCTTCACTGCCAGGCCTGCCCCCGGCCCGGGGAGAGCAGGGCCAAGGCCGGAGCCGGGCTCGGAATCGCCCTGGCCCCTGGTAACAGGCCTCTCTCGCTCCCCCCCCGCGCAGGAAACCGAGGTGGAGCTGTACAACGAATTCCCCGAGCCCATCAAACTGGACAAGAACGACCGGGCCAAGGCCTCGGGCGAAAGCTGCAGCTGCTGAAGGGGCGGCGAGAGCAGAGCACAGAGTCCTTCACAGACCAGGAACACACTTCGGCCTTCCTACACGAGCCCCTCCCTTCCCACACACACCATAAAGTTGTCTCTCGAATCCAGCTGCCAAAAGAAACCCCAACAGACACCCTCGCCCTTACACGCGTGCGCGCGCGCGACACACACACACCCCTACACCTGATACGAGCAGACAGACTCCAGCCCAGGCCTGTGACGGCGCCGTTGGGGTCTGCCCGCCCACCGCCTCAGCCCTGTGGCCCCCGACAGGCCCGCGGTAGAAACCGTGCTGGTGTGGAGTCAGCATCGGAATCGTATTCTTTTTGTCCACTGGGGAGAGAGAACTGTTTACAGTTAATCTGTGTCTAATTAGTTATCTGATTTTTTTAACGGTCTCGTGGTCTTTTTATCCCCAGCCCCCCCCCCCCCCCCCCCCCCCCCCCCCCCCCCCCCCCCCCCCGCTCCCGTGAAGGCCACCACTTGGGAAGGCTGGTGCCCCGCGCTTCGTTACAGGCTCACGCCCGCTCTGATCGGGCGGAGTTTTGTATGTATCTGTTAATGCTTGTTACTTTTAACTAATCAGATCTTTTTACAGTATCCATTTATTATGTAATGCTTCTTAGAAAAGAATCTTATAGTACATGTTAATATATGCAACCAATTAAAAATGTATAAATTAGTGTAAGAAATTCTTGGATTATGTGTTTAAGTCCTGTGATGCAGGCGTGTGAGATGGACGGTGAACCCTGTCTGGATTTTGCAGAGTGTTAGCGACTCCGAATTTAGAAGTCCAGCTAGAGGCAGTATTCTGTACAGTAGACACAAGAATCATGTACGCCTTTTATCAAAGACTTAAGAGCCAAAAAGCTTTTCATCTCTCCAGGGGGAAAACTGTCTAGTTCCCTTCTGGGTCTAAATTTTCCAAAAGGTTGATTTTCATAATACAGTGGTGCGTGCAATGGATAAGTGGCTGTTTCCGAAGTTAAAATTCTCATCTTTCCTCCCCCCCCACCCTGCCCCACCCCGCCCCGCTTCAGTCCCCTGTAGGTCAGCATCCTACTGATAAGAGGGAAAGGAAAATCCTAACACTTCTGTCCTAGTGATTTTACCTTTGTTCTAGAAGGCGCTCCTTTCAGGGTTGTGGTATCCTTAGGTTAGCAAACCTTTTTCTCCTCTTCCCCACCGACTCCCGGTATCGCCCATCATTAATTACCCTGTTTCTTTGGTATGGAGCCCGGCAGTGTGCCCTCCCTCGGACCCACCCCTGCACTGTAGCTTGCTTAACGGAGCACTTCCCCCTTTCCGGAGGTCTGCATTCTAGGGTGTGGGCCAAGTTCTTCTGTAAAGAGATGAACGTGATGCCAATAAAATGTAACAAGAACAAAGATCATCTGCCTTTGCCCTGTGTTTCTTCCTCCTTCTAGACCCGTGGCTCCGGACAGGCCGTGCGGCCAACCCTGGCAGCTGCCCTCGCCAGCACCGGAGCCTCCAGACCGGACGCCTGGGGTGCTTTGCAGGGAGGCCGTGGCGCAGCCAGCCTCGCAGCACCTGGCCCGCGGCTGGGGTTTGGTTTTCTAAGTCACAGTCACCGGGTCTGGGGACTCTGAACGGAGAAGACCTTGTCCCTTTAGAGGAGCACGTGCCCCATGCTGGTGGCCCACAGACCACGCACGGCCCGTGGGTATGACTGCAAGTCAGCCTTTGTGTTCCCGTGTCCTGCGTTGTGGTCGGCGTGGTCGCCGCTACTTAGACGCCCCCGAGTTCTGGTTTGTCACAGGACAGGACGATTTGGCAGCAGGGGCCCTGGGTTCAACGCTCCAGTCTCTAGCTGGCCCCGGATAGATGCCACGTCAGAGGGCTGGCGTCGGTTTCTCTTCTAGAAGTGCCCCTGTTGACAAAGCCCTTGGATTCTCCTTGGCCGCGCGCTTCTCTGCCTTCCCGCTTCCCGGGCCTCTCGGCCCATCCTTCCCTCGCGCCCGCTCTCAGCCCCAGTGGAGGTAGCGCGTTCGTGGCGGCCCCAGGAGCTTCTCCGTCCGTGGGCCCCGTGCCTCACGCTCGCCTGCACACTGGGCTCCTGTCCCGCGCTCGTGTGCTCCGCTCCTCACCTTAAATGTGGACGTGCACCTTGACCGTCGTTCCAAAACGGATAATCATCCTGACCGTTTACGGTAAGAGGGCGTGGCGGGCACCGAACCCTGCGCGGGGCCGGCACCTTTCTCCACAGTACCCCCCAGAGTCACCGGAAGCGTGTACTTTTGAGCGAAACGAGTAGATTTGTTTCAACAAGCAGTAAGGATTTAGTTTTTTGAGAAGGGTGTCTGGGATTGAGTTTGTTTTCACTAATGCTTAGGATTCCTTGCGGTCATTTGAATGTGCTCTGCCTCCCGGTGAGAACGTGAATGGAGCCGGAAGCTGTTGCCTCCGTTCATCCCCGTTCGTGTCCGGCTCTGACGGTAAGGCGTGGCTTTGGAGAAGACTAGGGACGCATTCGTTGCGCTAACACAGTCTTGTTTACGTGGTGTGCCTCGGCAGGATCCAAATTCGCTCTGTCTCACAGTATGGGTGTGGATTGCTGTGCTTACTGCTGGTTCACTCCCGCAATCTAGAAGGAGTCCCAGGCTGACCTTGTTGCATTAACAGGAATTCTTACCCACCCGGACTCCTGTTCAGATCGAACCTAAGTCCTCCCACTTCTCATTAAAAATCTGCCTTTGAGATGAATGTGTGTTGCACCTCTAATGTTCGTGTTAGTTCATACTAACTAGGTAATGAGGTTTTTGTCTTTAGAATGAATGTCTGAGACTGAGCCTGTTTGAACTAATGATGATGCGTTTCAATAGCACTAATTAGATTCGTGCCTAATTCACTCTACCTCCCAGTAAGAATGTGCCAGAGAGATGACTGTGTGGAGCGCACTTCTTGTGTCCATCTTGGCTTACACTAACTTACAGTTGGGAGTTACAGAAACCAGATGATTGAGACTGACTCCACTGGCTCAAACTCTCAGCGGTTTGCATATATATGGAGGTCAGTGTATATCGCTGAGCGCTCCTCTATCTCGTTTCACTGATCGTGACCCGGGGCCCAGATGCTCAGCCAGATATACTCGAAAGGCCCATGATTTGGAGGCACCTGGGGGATCAGTCGGTGAAGGGTCTGACTTCGGCTCAGGTCATGATCTCATGGTTCATGGGTTCGAGCCCTGCATCGGGTTCTGTGCTGACAGCTCAGAGTCTGGAGCTGCTTCAGATTCTGTGTCTCCTTCTCTCTCTCTCTCTCTCTCTCTCTCTCTCTCTCAAAAGTAGACAAACAAACAAAAAAAGAAGACCCGTGATTTTGCCTCCGTCTGCTCTTGAACATGAACTTGATGGTGAACCTCTTAACCTTCATTGTGACCTTGATGATCTCCCTGGCCTTGAAACTCATTCTGACCGTGTCTCATCCTAATTGTAAGTTGGCCCTGTACTTTACCTCTAACTGGACCTTTTCCATGAACCCAATCTTGACCCACCCTGCCTATAAAGTGATCTTGGACTGGTTTTATCCTAGCACCTGCCCTCGATCCTAACGCTGATCCAGTCTCTCACCCTTTGGATATCACGGTTCTCTTGCATTGCCTTCCTTTTGAAACTGACTTGAACTTGCCCCTAAATAACACATTTATACTCATCACAACCTTGGAATGAGCTTGAACTTCGAAATTGATCTTCAGCCTGATGCTGGCATGCTAATTAACCAAGGTCAGTGCTGAACTTAACTCTTGAATTTGATCATGAAATGACCTTGACATTAACCCTTATCCCAGCCTTGATCATCCTCCATCTCACTGAGACACTGATTTTAACCTAGAACCTCTTGATCCTGATCTTGTCCTTCGTACGCTAATGATCCTGACCATGATCCCCTTGAAATGACCTTGGGTTGACTTTGAGGTTGACCTGGAATCTGACCTTGATCCACTAATGTTCTGACTATAGCTCACCGTCTCAAACTTGATCTTGAGCTTGATCTTCATCCATGTACACTGATAATCATCGTGACTTTTACCCTCCCTGAACTTGGAATGACTATGAATTTGACCTGAAATTTGAAAGTGGTCCTGAAGCAGGCCTTCCGACCTTTATTTCAACCTAACCATCATCCTTACCATATTTTGCTCTCAGCTTTAACTTGTCTTTGAAACTGACCTAACTTGTGACACTGAATCAAATACTGACACGCATGTCTTCACCCTAAATCTGAAACATCCTGATCATTGTCCTGGCCAGCTCATGTCTTGAGTTTATACTTGACCTTGAATCTGTCATCACTGATGATCAGCCCTGATTTTGAGCTGCCATGAGCTTAAAATGACTTAAAATGACCCTGGCCCTTATCCTTCATTTTATTCAAACCTTTGAGCCAACTCTTAACTTCTGATGCAGACCACCATTCAGACCATATCTTACCCTAAATTTTTACTGGCTCTTGAAATGGCCCTAACTCTTACAATTTTTTAAGTTTATTTTTATTTGGTAATCTCTTCACCCAGCGTGGGGCCAGACTCAAGACCCCGAGATCAAGAGTCTGCACGCTTTTCTGAATGAGCCAGCCAGGTGCCCATTTGGGACTCTCTTCCTGACACCAAAACCTTTCATACTATGAGACACCGTGACCCTGAGGTGAATTTGATTTCGAAGTTTTCCTTGAATCTGACTCTGGTTCTGACCCTGATCATCATGACTGTATCTTGCTTTCATTTTGAACCTGACCTCGATCCTGCTCCAGATTCTCACTTTGACATTGTCATTCTACCCTTTCTCAACTTGACCTTGAAACGTTACTTTCATACTGATCCTGCCACTGCACCGACTGACCCACGTACCCTTGAACCTTAATCTTAACCGTCCTTTGGACATAGACCATGATCCATACTTTAACCACCCCCATCTTGAAATAATTGATAACTCTCCTTAAAATTGACCTTAACACTGACCCTCATCTTTTGTCCTCTTACCTTCATCATGACAGATCCTGATCTGACCGGCCATACCATGAACTTTATCAGGAAGCCAACTCTGAACCTGACCATGATGTGCCCTCCCTGAGTCCTTTTCCCATGTCCCAGACTACAGTCAGGTCACTGGTCCCACTTTTTTTGTTTTGTTTTGTTTTGTTTTATTTCTGAGAGAGACCACGTGAGCAGGGGAGGGTCAGAGAGAGAGGGAGACACAGAATCCGAAACAGGCTCCAGGCTCTGAGCTGTCTGCACAGAGCCCGACCGGGGGCTTGAACTCACGAACCGAACCGTGAGACCATGACCTGAGCTGAATTCGGACGCTTTAACCGACTGAGCCACCCAGGCACCTCTCACCCCCACTTTGTTCTTTGGCTTTTCTGTTGGGTACGTCCTAGCAACTAGTTTGCTAGGACTTTACTGCACCGTCTGGGTGACTTAAACAACAGGATTCTATTTTTTCACAAGTTTGGAGGATAGAAGTCTTAGATCAAAAATAATTTCATTTAATTTTATTTTTTAATTTACATCCAAGTTGGTTAGCATATGGCATAATAATGATTTCAGGAGTAGAGTCCAGTGATTCATTCCCTGCGTATAACACCCACTGCCCATCCCAACAAGCATCCTCCTTAATGCCCTTAGCCCCCCCCACCCTAACCCCTCCAACAACCCTGTTTGCTTATGTTTTTGCTTCCCTTTGTTTTGTTATATTAAAATTCCACATATGAGTGAAATCATATGGTATTTGTCTTTCTCTGAATAATTTCACCTAGAATACCCTCTAGTTCCATCCACATAGTTGCAAATGGCAAGATCTCATCCTTCTTGATGGCCGAGTAATACTCCATTGTGTGTGTGCGTGTGCGTGTGCGTACACCACATCTTTATCCGTTCATCTGTCAATGGATATTTGGGCTCTTTCCATACTTGGGCTATTGTCGATAGTACTGCTATAAACATTGGGGGGCATGTGTCCCTTCATAACAGAACACCTGTATCCCTTGGATAAATACCTAGTAGTGCAATTGCTGGGTCGTAGGGTAGTTCTATTTTTAGTTATTTGAGGAAGCTTCATGCTGTTTTCCAGAGTGGCTGCACTAGTTTGCATTCCCACCAGCCGTGCAAAAGTATCTCCCTTTCTCTGCATCCTAGCCAACATCTGTTGTTTCCTGAGTTGTTCATTTTAGCCTTTCTGACCAGTGTGAGGTGGTATCTCAGTGTGGTTTTGATTTGTGTTTCCCTGATGATGAGTGATGTTGAGCATCTTGTCATGTGTCTCTTATCCATCTGGATGTCCTCTTTGGAATAGTGTCTATTCATGTCTTTTGCCCATTTCTTCACTGGATTATTTGTTTTTTGGGTGTTAAGTTTGATAAGTCCTTTATAGATTT